GTACAATGTGTGTGAGAGCAGTGTGTGTGGGGGTGAATAAGATACACAGAGATGGAAGTGAAAGGAGTGTTGGGAGGAGAGCCGACTGGAGGAATGGGAACAAGAGAAGAAGAACATTGGTAAAAAACAACAAACTTTATTTCATAGATCTTTTAAAATTTTGATATATTTGTTTTCATTTATATGTGTGATTTCATATATTTGTTTGTGTTAGTTGTGTGAAAAGATTGTTTTATGAAAAGTTTCTTCGCGGATGAAAACAACAATCGTATTACAGGTGGCAGGAAGCTTTAGATATTTGTGTTAATGAATGAACCGTTTGTTTTATTGTGATATGTTTTTATTATGACCTAGTGAGACCAACTACACGGGCAGATAATAATATAAATGAAAATGTTCAAAATACAGTGGACACCAAGATAACTCAATTTACATACATGAAATAATAATCGCTTCAAGTTTTAGATAATTTACACAACTGTTGTTTCAGACGAGAAACAGCGAGGCAGGTGGCGCGAGAATGAATTTATAACATGATGAAAATTTCTCGCGTGGATTTATCCCTAGAAAAAAACCCTTCAGAGTGTATGATTTGTTTAAGCCAGTAACTCGATGGTGTAAATACAGGTAAATGAATCATGAAGCAATACACGACAATACTATTACGAAAGGGAAGTAATTGGCACGTGAATCAAGCAGGTAAATACTGTAAATTATAAACCTGTTCACTCTACCAGCCTGACACCTACAAGTAAAATTAATATTCAGAATTAAACGAGAAACCTCACCCTTGTCCAACACATGTACTGTATAGGTGCGGACAAAATCCCTTGGGTTCTTTTGTGGCATCTATTTGACGTGAAGGGGGATAGAGATTTAACAACTATTTCCCCATTTATTTAATCGTCTTATAGATTTTTTTTTGTTCATCTTCAGGTTGTAGTTCCGAGGTTAATTTATATTGAAAAGCCTAAGCTGAAGGAGGGTAGAAGGGAAGGGAAGGGAAGGGAAGGGGTGGTATGTTGAGGTAGGGGCAAGACCAGCTGTCATCAGCCTGTATGGGAAGGTGTCAAGTAGGAAATCAGCTGCCTACATCACAACAAAGAACAAGCCATCGATCTTTGTGGTGGAGTGTGTAGGTGTGGTGGAGTGTGTAGGTAGTGTGATGAAGTGTGTAGGTAATGTGATAGAGCGTTGTAGAGTGTGTGGGGGAGTGTGTAGGGAGTGTGTTGAAGTGTGTAGGTAATGTAGTGTAGTATATATATATATAGTATGTGTGTGTGTGTGTGTGTGTGTGTGTGTGTGTGTGTGTGTGTGTGTGTGTGTGTGTGTGTGTGTGTGTGTGTGTGTGTGTGTGTTACAATAGCAGTGTGGAGGAACAGACCGGATGCTACGGTCCACACACACACTATGACACCTGCAGTCCGTGGAATGTGCAGTTACAGTATTATGGAGTGTGGATAGCTAGGGTGTGGAGTAGATATGTGTGATAATATATGGAGTAAGGACCGAGATGTGCCGGAAGGTTAGGTGTGTGTGAAAAGTATGGAGCGCGGTGACGGTGTTTGAGAGTGTGTAGTGTGGATGGAGTGGAAGGGAGTGTGGTGTGGTGTGTATGGAGGGGGGGGGGTGTGGTGTGGAGGGCCTGACATACACTTGAGAGGGTAGGTGTAGGTAACAGGATGTAGATCAGGGAGACATAAGTTGCTATGTAAAGGTAACTATAGTCGATGTGGGGTTGGGTTAGATTAGGTTAGGTTAGGTTAGGTTAGGTTAGTTTAAGTTTGGTTTGGTTGGGTTAGATTAGGTTAGGTTTGGTTTGGTTTGGTTGGGTTAGATTAGGTTAGGTTAGGTTATAGTATTGTCATTGGTAAGAGGCGCGACGGGGAGAGATTTTGAATAGCATTTATTACTGTTGTTGATATTATTATTATTATTTTTCTTGGTATTATTGTTTTTGTTATTATTATTGTTATTATTTTTATTATTGTTGTTGTTACTGCTATATAATTCAGATTAATATATAAATAAAATTCGATAAACCGTGACAAGGAAACGAACAACAAATACTAGGAGAGAGAAATTACCGTCCAAGGAGAGGGTCGCTGGGGAGTGAGAGACCGAGTAAGAGTCTCTTAAGGGAGGGACTTTGGTGAGGAAGGTCAGGGGAGGTCACCTGTGTCTCGCGCATCACAGGCGGCGTGTGAGAGAGACTCCCTGGAGTGGGGGGGGAGATGAAAGGTTAAGTTTCCGATGAGTGGGAGAGTGAGGGGAGACTGAGAGTGGGAGAGGGAGAGATAATGTGGGAGAGGGAGAATGTGTGGGAGATAGTTAATAAATGTTGAGTTGAGAGAGAGAGAGAGAGAGAGAGAGAGAGAGAGAGAGAGAGAGAGAGAGAGAGAGAGAGAGAGAGAGAGAGTCACCTGGGAGGAGGGGCTGTGTGTAGACTACTACGCGGCTGATAAAGACTTGCCCTGACAGGTGACACCAGCAGGAGTGGACAGTGACGCCACTATCTAGTACCGCGTTACAACTCTCATATACTAAAGGGGGGGAGGAGTAGCCTAGAGTGACGAGTGAGAATGACAATACGATAAATTTTCCACACGAAGTTTCCCAAATACAGGTGAATAGTGAGACTTTACCTGAGGTGGCGGGGTGTGGATGACAGGAGGAGAGACGAGGTTGTTACTGTAAGTTAACAGTACATTGGACAGGTGTAAGGCTGTGTACTTATGGTCTTCATTAATTTACTACAGCGGAAGGGAAGGAAGTCATGTAGTCGTAATTAATGATGAGAAAATAAACCATAAATAAATAAATGCGTTGACGTTATAGATTAAAATTTACTTCTAGTGTAGGATGGATAAAGCGACAATCTTCTCCTGGTAAGCTTCGTGCCTTTAAGGTTGTATAAGAATTCCGGCCTCAGAGATGTTGTAGTTCACACGATTTACCCCAAAACACTTAACATTAACCCGAGTTTTGAAATACACGGTAAAGAAGACGGGCTACTGTGTCCTCAAGTTAGGTCTGAGTGTAAACAAAAGGTATCAGATGGTCGGCACTTGTTTACATGACTGTTTGTGTGGTAGAAGAAACAAGTAAAAATAATATATGGTAGCCACAATTGTTTACAGAGCTATGTACTGTATAGGGCTTCTGGTGCGTCCTGTAGCAGATATTTCAATAGTCATTCTAGTAGTGAGACGCATAGATGAAGCTTTCTGTAAATGGTAGCAGTTTGGGTGTAAATGGTAACGGCGTGAGTGTAAATTGTAGTGGCGTGTGGGTGTATATGGTAACGGCGTTGGTGTAAATAGTAACGGCGTGGGTGTAAATGGTAGCGGTGTGTGGGTGTATATGGTAACGGCGTGGGTGTAAATGGTAACGGCGTGGGTGTAAATGGTAGCGGTGTGTGGGTGTATATGGTAACGGCGTGGGTGTAAATGGTAACGGCGTGGGTGGTAAATGGTGGCAGCAGCGTGGGTGTAAAATGGTAGCAGCGTGGGTGTAGATGGTAGCGGCGTGTGGGTAAATGCAGTGGCGTGGTGTAAATGGTAACGGCGTTGGTGCAACGGTGGTAATCTATGCTGGTGTAAATGGTAGCAGCGGGTGTAAATGGCAGCAGCGTGGGTGTAAAATGGTAGTGCGTGCGTAAAATGGTACCCATGTTGGTGTAACGGTAGCAGCGTGTGGGTGCAACGGTAGTGGCGCGGGTAAAACGGTAAACGGCGTTGGTGTAAATGGCAATCTATGTTGGTGTAAATGGCAGCAGCGTGGTGTAAATGGTAGCAGCGTGGGTGTAATGGTAGCGGCGTGGGTGTAAATAGTGGCGTGCGGGTAAACGGCAAATCTGGCGTTGGTGTAAATGGTAACCATGCGTTGGTGTAAATGGTAGCAGCGTGGGTGTAAACGGTAGCAGCGTGTGGGTGTAAATGGTAGTGGCGTGCGGTGTAATGGTAATCTATGTTGGTGTAAATGGTAACCATGCTTGGTGCAAATGGTGAGCAGCGTGGGTGTAAAATGGTGAAAGAAAGCGTGTGGGTGTAAAATGGTAGCGCGTGTGGGTAAACGGTAGTGGCGTGCGGGTGTAAATGGTAACGGCGTTGGTGTAAATGGTAACGAAGCGTTGGTGTAATGGTGGTAGCAGCGTGGGTGTAAATGGTGAAAGCAGCGTGGGTGTAAATGGTAGCGGCGTGTGGGTGTAAATGGTAGCAGCGTGGGTGTAAAATGGTAGCGGCGTGTGGGTAAAAATGGTGGCGTGCGGGTGTAAACGGTACCCATGTTGGTAAATGGTAAATGTTGGTAAATGGTAGAAACAGCGTGGGTGTAAATGGTAGCAGCGGTAAATGGTAGCGGTGTGTGGGTGTATATGGTAACGGCGTTGGTGTAAATAGTAACGGCGTGGGTGTAAATGGTAGCAGCGTGAGTGTAAATGGTAACGGCGTGGGTGTAAATTGTAGCGGTGTGTGGGTGTATATGGTAACGGCGTGGGTGTAAATGGTAACGGCGTGGGTGTAAATGGTAACGGCGTGGGTGTAAATGGTGAGCTTGTTCCCCCGCTCAGTCTCTTACGTATGTTATGGAACGCTAAGGAGATATTGAGGGTGTGGAAGGCTGTGGCCAAGGGGGAACGCTACAGTACGTCAGTCACCTCACAGCTGTACTTGAATGAATTTGACTCGTGGAAAGGTTCAGTTCTTCACCCAACATGCAGGAATACTGAAGGATGATTTTCGATTGCTATAAGAACCTCCATTATTGACTCCTGCAGGAAGCTATATTTTAGAAAGATAACTGAGAAGGCTACCGTGGGAATTTACTATCTGCAGACTACAGTGTGGAATTTATGACAGTATATAGGTAACATAATCATGAAAGTATTATAATAGACGAAGGAGTTATTGTGCATTAAGCTTTAATAAGGTATTCTCCCAGGCCGAATGTAATCTACTATGAAAATTATATAAAATAGACCTGTTTATTTCCCTCAACAGACGGTCGCCACTGGGTGCTGCCGACGGGGGAGCTGGTGGTGCATGGTATCACCCCTACAGACGCCTACACCCGCGTCTCCTGCACCGCTGCTCACGCCTTCGACCCCTCCCCCAGATCTTCCAACGTCGCCAGGGTCATCGTCACAGGTCAGGCCAGGTCACGGTGATTAGTTTACCTCATATATTTTCTGTCTTCCTGTGTTGTAGTGAAGGTCAGCTGTTCATTGAGGGTGATTTTCATGATAATTCACTTCTTGTAATTGTGTCGAAATGCTTCAGTTTTTGTTTCGGAACAGAATGGTCCTTCATTCTACTCAAGGTATTCCATCACCCGGGTCACAAGTCAGGACATTTTTCTGACTGTTTTTGAACTTAGTCGTTTCTGTGAATTATTTGGGCTGGGATTTTATAGCCAGTAATCGTCGTGATTTTTTTAATGATCAGGAAGATATCAAGCTCCCTGTGTATGTGTGTGGGGGCTATGATGACCTGGGGAACTGTGGTGACCTGGGGACTGTGGTGACATGGGCACTGTGGCGACCTGGGCGACTATGATGACCTGGGATGCTGTGATGGGATGAATGGATCCAGGTCACCAACCAGCACACGGGGGTCACCAGGGACTCCGTGGAGGTGGCTAGAGTGAGATAGGTCCGGTCCATAGCTATGAGAAGGAGCCCCTGTGCCCTTGACTAATGCCTCCACTCTACTGAGGCCATAAAACAATTCGCTTATTCCTTCTGCTGGTTAACCTTTTCATGACTTACGATAAATCCATAATCATTCCAGAAAAATGCTAAAAGTTCCTGATTGTTTATGTCGTTGACGGTGTAAATATTGTATATTCTAATTACTGGTGAACTTATTTGGTTTGGGTTAATTCTTCGAGTGTGATGACTTAATCCCTCGAGTATGGCTCCCTCGTATTCAGAGTATTATTACATTGTACTTAAGGAATTTAATAAATGAACTAAAGTGTCATCGTAATCAAGATGTTAAACAAATGCATCAAGTGATATTATTCTTTCCTTTGACACATGTTATGTTTGGGAATAGTTCTGTACCTCCTTGTCAGTACTTGTCACCCCAGCTCTCACAGTATCTCAGTGAGGAGAGAGAAGTGAACCTCTGTTCACCTCTACACCAGACGCTCACAACATCCCATCTGGCAGGATGATAATGCCACGTATGCTGAACCAGTAACCCACATCACAGTATACCTCTACCTCTTCTTCAACTAATATATCTAATTGGTTAACGTGTTGTAGGAATAATTCAAGATCGAGATTCCAGCCTCTGAAAAAAAAAACACGAACGGGATTCTAAAATATTAAAAAGAGGACTGAGACACCTGCACAGGCCGGGCCCAGACACAGTCACTTCTTGTCCTTTATTTTCAGAAACAAGGTACAAGTTATAGAGTCGTCACTTCTCTGACTCTGCTAATTACATGCAAGTTTCGAGGGAGCAAGAAAAACAAACTTTATAATACTCCCAAGTTGGCCGCCGTCCCTCTAAGACTGACACAAGGACCTCAGGGCTAGAGCGAGTCACACACCAGACTACGAACACAAAGTTACCTGCCAACACAAGATGTACGGAACGTGTATAATACATGGTTCAGGCTATCTTAGAAGAGATTTGCCAATTGCAGTGGAGGAAGTTTGGGAACAGGACATCTTGTACTGTACAGTGTTAGGTTATGTAAATGTTCATTACACTCGTATGCACAACTGTACTAAACCTAATTGAGATACAGTACTAGTTTTACCAAAGCCCCAAAACAACTCTGAGACTCAGGCGTGTAAAGGAACTCTCCTCATTCCGGAGATGAGGGAATGACATGCGATTGTAATTAGTGGAAACAAAGAGTGCCATCAAATACCACGTCTTTCGCGTCTCTCTTGAGGTGGAGACAATTAAAAGTTTCAGGGGCCAGGTGACTGAGGAAGACTTAGTACAAGTTTAGAGCCGTTTTGACTGATTGAATTTACGGAGTGTTGATTTTCTTCTCCATTCCTTTAAAAAGGAAGGATTAGTATTTCTAGTCGTTTCTCCAGTGTCCAGTTAAAGACAGAATTTCCATTTAAATGTGAACGTTCTAGTTCAGTTCAAATTTTCTTTCCGTTAGAATTTTCCAGTTAAAATTAGTTTTCACGAAGAAAGAAAATGTCTTTGTTGATTTTTTTTGGTATAACATTTATTTTAACGCCAGACATACTTCACTATCTCGAGTATGTATCATAGAATAACACTAATAATATAAGATTTATTATTCCCTATTATGCCGCTAAGAATGTTTCCCGGCGTGAGAGAACGGTACATATTCCCGCCTCTCACACTAAACTGATTCCCTCCTGGACAGACACGACAAGTGTACATCAGTGAATGACCTTGTCTCATTGACCTGGTCGCTGAGTAGTAAGAGAAACGGAACAATAATCGTGTGGGCGTACATTTTATTTTCAGTTCACTAATATGAAACGTAATGATGTGGCCAACTGTTGAATTGATTTAAAAAGTAGTTTAATTATTTTTATTACTAAACTCATTTACTATTCATACATGCACTGATGATGAAGGTGAGCATCGTAGAATCTACAGGTATATTATTGTCTGACCAACTACATTAGTCCTGTACAGTACTTTTATATCTGTTAAGACTTGTGTTGTTGGTCTCACAAAAGTTCTAGAACTCTAGTTTAACGCGCCAGCCACAGCCGTTACTCATATGTCTGTACCTGTTGTCCTTCTGTGTGGCGAGAGGGCACCAGTATACTATCCACTCGTCTACTCCTCCTCCCTATCCTCCTCTTTTATACTCGTATTTGTTCCTCTAAGACACTCCTTGATGCAAGAGAATCACCCGTAGCGATGATCACATATTTTGACAGCGCACCACGTTCGCTCTTAACTGTGTAGAGTGCGTCGTCTGTAGTATTTATTATCAGCGGGATTTATCTGGTACACTCCTCTACTATGGCAATTGTAAGGCTGATCATGTGACTACAGTGAAACCTCATGACGTCACATTTGTTTACCACGGGTCATTCTGGGAGAAAATAAGGGGTTTTCAAGACACGTAAACACTGAAAGAAACCTTCAAGCTCTCACTCCTATACATTCTTAGGCTCTTCGACAGCCATAGAAAGACTAAGTGACATATTTTCCGCGACAACTGATTTCTTTGAGTGTAGAAACAGAAATTTCCCATATTATTCCATGTGAGAGAGGCGTCTGGCTGAGGCGGAAATTATCCTAGAGCCCTGTGTGATGAGTCTCCCCTCGCCTGCATTGTCGCAAGGGGAACTGAACAGGAAGACGAGGAAGTGAGGTCTGGCAGCCGAGGAGATAGATCACAAGTCAATACCAGAGGTCTAGTACAGTCGTGAACCAGGGATAAAGGCTAGGAACTGAGGTATAGAGGCTAAGAGCTGAGGTATAGAGGCAAGGCACTGAGGTATAGAGGCTAGGCACTGAGGTATAGAGGCTAGGCACTGAGGTATAGAGGCTAGGCACTGAAGTATAGAGGCTAGGCACTGAGGTTTTGAGGCTAGGAACTGTCGGGCTTTTGTAGTTTCCTTTGCACTTAAAGGAGTATCGTCCACGTACTTGGAACGACGTAAATGATGATAATAATTGTGCATGAAGAAGTTAGTTAGAGGCAGTAATCAGAGAAGCGCAACCAATTGAACCCGCTCTTGTATAGTTGTCAAGTTGGTAGAGATTATTTATGAGGAACGACGTCACTTGTATTAATTTTTGTGGTTTTATATTTACTGTGCTTGATAACTGGCAGGTGAACAATATGGCGACAACACCCTCCTGGGTAAGAATGAACGAGATCTTTACTCATAAGGACGACACCTGACCAGATCTACCTGTTGTATTGTGACTCCAGGTGTGGCCAGCAGTAATTAGATGCCGTGTGATGGAGATGACACAGATGGTGTAGCGTAATAAAGGGATACTGCTGCCTTGTTAGTGATGCGGCTCTTGTTGTTACTCTGTTTGGTGACCTGACTGGTGACGAGGAGGATTTAATTTGTTTGGGGATGGTTGGCGATGAAGGCATGGCCCAGGAATTGTGAAGGAATAGTGATGTAATTACAGCAGATGTGTGGAGGGGTGATGATTGTCGAGTCGTTATGATGGTGAATGTAACACACACACACACACACACACACACACACACACACACACATACACCTGTAATATTCATTTCAGGAATGTCAACAGTTCTGTGAATTGAACTAAACCTTTGTGTCATACATAGCTGCCATTGTAAGCTGTTGACGCACGAATATCCCTGAAAGTAAAATATCAACGCTACACTTGGTATCCTCAATCACTGATGCTGGATACAGGTGATCCCAGGAGATAATTAATCGCCACCACGTCTACCTGTGAAAGGCTGTTTGTTGTGGTGTTGACTAGATGTTGGATGGGCTGGTTGAGGTGAGCCTCACCGTACAAGTCCTTGATCCCAGGTGAGGTACAGTGATGGTCACGGGGGACTATCTCCTTATAGTCCTCTTTCTTCAAGCTGTGAGGGCTGTTTTGGGCTTTACTCACACCACCGTACTAACACACTTAACCAACATTCTTTCTGTTAACGTTTTTACTTCCTCTCCTTAATTACCTTGTATTCGTTTCTTATCTTTCACTGTCCAGTTTTCCATTATATTAGATAGGTTCTATGGCTCCGACAAGTGAGCCGTGGTGGCAGGAAGCGCTTCACTATAATTGTTACTCTGCAGTACACCCGCCTGATAGTTCACTGACGAAACATTGTTTTGTCGTCTTAAGAAGAGTTCTAGTAAATTAGCGATACATATAAGGATAGTAACAATGGCAGTCTACATCATAATATTAACTAACAAAGAGAAGAAACCTCACTACAGCTAACAGTTTCAGAGCCACCTGCAGAAAGTCTCAATCTCTGTCCATCCCAGTTACTATATTTCTGTGATGCCTGAGAGATCTATGCCAACACAAATCCCTTCCATTTTCATATTCAACCTTCACCTCCACAACTGCTGTGTTTACAGTGGTCGAAAAGCATAGTTTAAGGTCGCAGCCTGGAAATTTGACCACAGACCCAGGCATGTATGTTTGTTTGTAGCATAACTCAAGTAGAAAGAATT